CGGACACTTCTCCAAGGAGGACATACAGAGGATCCAGAGACACATGAAAAGATGCTCAATATCACTAGCTATCAGAGAGATGCAAAATAAAACCACCATGACATACCACCTTACACGGGTCAGAATGTCCATCATAAATAAAGCAACAAACAAGTGTTGGAGAGGTTGTGGAGAAAAGGAGACCCTAATCCATTGTTGGTGGGATTGCAGGCTGGTACAACCACTATGGAAAACAGTACGAATTTCCTCAGAAAACTAAAAATGGATCTGCCTTTTGACCCAGCAATTCCACTGCTAGGATTATATCCTAAGAACCTATACACTCCAATGTTCATAGCAGCACAATTTATAATAGCCAAGAGTTGGAAGCAACCTAGGTGCCCATCAGTAAATGAATGGATCAAAAAATTATGGTACATATACACAATGGAATTTTATGCAGCAGAAAGAAAGAAGGAGCTGCTACTCTTTGCAACAGCATGGATGGAACTGGAAAGCATTATGCTGAGTGAAATAAGCCAGGCACTGAAAGACAAATACCATATGATCTCACCTTTAACAGGACGCTAAAAAAGAAAACAAACAAGCAAGCAAAATATAACCAAAGACACTGTAATAAAGAACAGGTGGACAGTGACCAGAGAGGAGAGGGGAGGGAATTTCAGGGGAAAAAGGGGAAGGATTCACAGGAACAAGTATAAAGAACACATGGACAAAAGCTAAGGGGGTGGAAATGGGAGGGCGGGAGGGAGCACTGCGGGGGTGAACTGGGATGGGAGAAAAAGAAAACTATACTTGAACAAGAAAAAATACAAAACAGGCAAAAATGGATCCAACTTACAGAAAATTGAAATCCCTGAATAAAAAGTAACAACTGAACAGAATATTTAAAATTATACAAAAACCCACCACTTTTCAAAAACAATATAAATGCTGAATCTACATTTTGAAAAGGCTCACTGGATTCCAGGAAAAATTTGACCCACTTCAAGTAAACCTGAGACACCATGTAAAACGATTATATTTCAAAGAAAACAAAACATTCTCAGGATCAGCATGTTACTTAATGCAAACATATTACAGGCATTTTCTTTACATTGAAATAAGGCAAGGATGCCCACCTTCTCCACTACTATAAAACACTGATTGTACTAAAGGCATATGCCAATATAATTAGACAAAAAATTAGTCATAGAAATTACAAAAGAGAAAGAACAACAACTTCTATTTGCAGATTATGATTCATTTTCTAGAACAAACCATGGAAAATGAAGAACAAAAGGAAACCAAACAATAAAAGAATTCAGTAGATAAGCAGGATACAAAATTACCATATAGAAAATCAACAGCTATCTTATATACCAATATAACAAGTTCAATGATATAACAATAAAGCAATTTCAACTTATAATAGCTTAGAAGTAGTAAAACCAAGATAAGATGCAACTCTAAACCACTACTTAACCCACTCTGCTGTCTCTATCTCACTACTTCCCACAGAAGTACAGGTTAGCAACTCTGAAACAACACTTCCCGCCTTCTGGAATGGAGCTAGTAACTACATATATTGTAGTTATAGGAAAATGGAAACTACATTTCTTAGTGTTGGAGAAAGAAGCTGAAAAGATAAGGAAGCTAGAAAGGACCCCATGCTACTGCATCGGAATTATAGGTGTCAGTAAATAATATTGCTGTTTAATATAGATAGAATAATATGTGTGTTTTTAATTTTAAATACATAAATATATATAATACTATATAATACTTCAGAAAAAAGAGTGCCTCATAAATGAGAGATCATCAAGCCGCCAAAAGATCTACTTTTGAACACTAAGCATTTGTGAAGTAAAACATTAAAATAATACTAAACACCCAATTTCTACTACCAAGAAAAAAACAAATTCCTTAATCATTTAACAAATATAAAATATCTCCTTTGAACATGTACACAATATATCCTCTGTATTTTGGAAATAAATGAACAGAAATCAAGAACAGACATTCCAAATTTACAAAGAAATCACCCTTTACACTCCTTTTTTGAGTATTTACTTCTTATTTGGAATATTTATTAACCCCTTTTATGGTGTCAGGCACTGTGCTGAGGATTTTATATACAACAACTCATTCAATACAAATGAAACATTTATATACTAGAAAGTACCAGCTCTGCAAGTTTGGAAACTGAAACTTATGATGGCTTATTAATACATAGCTAAGAAATGGCAGAAGTTCAGACACAAATCCAATTCCATCTAAGTCTAAAGACTACTTTTCAGTTGTGATGTACCTTGTTTTGGAAAATATATGCACATTATACATGGAGATTTCATTCCTAGGCTATGCCACAAATCTCATTTAGTGTATAATGTAGCAGAAATCATGGTAAATTACATTAAAATATCTGTTTCTTGTATATCTTACCATATCCTCCATAATATTTAGCAAGTTATCTTGCACATGGAAGAAACTAAATGTTTTTTATTATTAAAGTCAAGTTAACCACAATAGCAATAATACTGATTGTGTATGTAGGTTCCTGAAACAGGTAAAAGTATACCATACAGAGGATAAAAGAAAATTAAATGTCTTATCTCTGTCTTTATTTATTAAGCAAATCTATGTTTGCTTACCTCTAACATTATACCAAAGACTACAGTAGAAATGCAATGAAGATTTCTGCTACATTAGAGATTAAAAGAAATTTGCTGGATGGCCTAGGAATAAAATCTGCAAGTATAATCTCACATATAATATAAAAAATTTTTCTTAAATATATAGTGAAAAATTCATCAAAGGACTTAAAATTTTCAACAAAACATACACACCTAATGTAAAAACAAAGTAGTAAAGGAGGAATGAGGAACCAAAATGATATGAAACAGAAAAACAAGTAAAATAACAACTATAAGTTCAATTATATCGGTGACATTAAATGTGAATGGAATAAATAATCTAATTAAAAGGCACATATTGCCAAACAGGATAAAAAAACAAAATCCAACTATATGCTGTCTACAGGAGACACACATTGATTAAAAAATACCAATAGGTTAGCAGTAAAAGCAAGAAAAAACGTGTCATGTAAACAGTTACCATAAAAAAGCTGGAGCAACTGTACTTAACAACAGACAAAACAGACTTTAAAACAAAAAGTATTACTAGAGATAAATGGATATTTTATTATGACAAAAGGAAGATAAAACAATTATAAACATACATGCACCAAACATCAGAGCTCCTAAATATATGAAGTAAATACAGGCAGAATCAAAAGGAGGAATAGACAGCTCTGTAATAATAGGAGTATACTTCAATATTCCACTTTCAATAATGGATAAAATGAGCATGTTTTTATTTCCAATGTGTCCTATTCTTTCTCTCTAAAGCTGCTCATATTAAACCTGGATAGTAATACCATTAAGAAGGCAAAATACCCTCTCCTTGTCTTTAAGCCTTTGTTACTTTAATTATGATGCGTCTCGGTGTAGGCCTCTTTGGGTCCAACTTGTTTGGGATTCTCTGAGCTTCCTAGACTTGTGTGTCTTTTTCCTCACTCAATTAGGAAGTTTCCAGTCATTATTTCTTCAAACAAGTTCTCAATCCCTTGCTCACTCTCTTCTCCTTCTGGTATTCCCACGATGCAGATGTTGTTACCCTTCCTGTTGTCCAACATGATTCTTAAGCTCTCCTCATTCTTTTAAGTCTGTTTTCTTTTTGTAGCTCTGCCTGGATGTTTTCTTCTACCTTGTCTTTGAAATCAGATTCAATCCTCTGCTTCACTGAACCTAGTGTTTATTCCTTCCAATGTTTTATTTATTCCAGATATTGCATTTTTTATTTCTGTCTGAGGGTGGAGAGATTGAGGAAAAAGGACTCATAGACATGGACAACAGTCTATGGTGATTGCTGAGGGAATGGGGGTATAAGGGGACTAAATGGTAACAGAAAAAAAATTAAGATTAAAAAATTAAGATGATAATGAAAAAATACAAAAAAACAAAGAAACAGAAGACTTGAACAAAACTATAAGCTCATTAGATCTAACGGACATATATAGAACACTCCACCCAACAACAGAATACACATTCCTCTCAAGTGCACACTGAATGTTCTTCACAATATGCTATACCATTCAACAACAGGTATGGGGCCAGTGGCCACTATATTTGGATAGTTGCTATATATGAGTACACATGCTCCTTGGTGATATTATTCTAAGACAAGCTGGCATCCTCCTACTCAATAGTTGAGCCATGGAGTTGGGTGTAGAAGCCTCTATCAAAGAAACCATTATACCAGCTCCTCCAGAGGTCTGCTCACAAAACCCAAGGGTCACGACTATTCCTAGATCTCATTATCACTACACACAAAGAATGGGAGTGAAGAAAAAAGAAGGAGTTATGTACATTCCCAAAAGATGACTCATATTAGCCAGAACAGTCATTCTTATCAGCCAATGAAATTTGTCTTGTACATGTGAAAATGTTTAGTATTTTTTTCAAAAAATTATAATACTAGGCTGGGATGGGAGTAAAAGACAGAAAACTGTACTTGAACAACAATTAAATAAATTTAAAAAATTATAATACTAAGACACAGCCTCTAATTTTTCAATACCTCCTTAATATTTTTTAAAACTTCATTTTAAAACAATTATTTGTTCCCAGATAATTCAGTTTTTATAAATTCTAATAAATCATTGCTTGAAATAAAAACTTTGGCACTAAAAGCAATAAACAATTTAGCCACAGATTAAAGAAAAGATTTTTTTCCCAACTTGCTCTTCTTCACTCTCTGAAGAAGAAAAGTATAACAAACTAAAATGCTAAATTCAATCCTTCTCTTTACATGGACACTTTTATTCTTCAAGGATTTATGCTCCATCTTTATACCATTTAAAAAAAACAAGTGATAATTATTATATCAAATATACAATGATAAAATGGTACTATGAAATAAAGCATACTTGTACTCTGACATAACAACGTATTACTTACTGTGCTTTTATCTTTCAGAAGTTTTTCAATGACTTCAATTAACATTTCCTTCTGCTCTGGATCAAGGCTAAATCATAAAAAGAAAAGAACATACATTAAATTTTTCCCTTTAATTCTAACTTTAAATGAAGCTAACCATTTCAAAAATACTGTGAATGTTTCGAGAGGGAACTGAAAGTGAGAATTATGTAAGAACAGCAACAAACAGAAAACAAATATAATGCAAAATGGGATGCTTTCACTCCCAGTGTGTCCATTCTTTCTCTCCAAAGTTGTTCATATTAAGCCCAGATACCAATACCATTAAGAAGGTATTTACAGTACAAGTTCACTTCTTTAAAATAAGTTAGAAAACCATAAGAAAGAAGATAAACCACACAGTCTTCTTTTAGCCGAGGGGAAAAATAACAAGATAGCAGTCATTTTCTACTATGGATATGTAATGGTCAAAAACAAATACACAGAATTTCCAAAAAAGAATATTGTAGCATTCTAGTTCACTGATGGAAACATACATTATAAAACCTGCTTTCTAAAACAAAAATATATAAGCAAAGGCTTACATAAGCACAAAATTGAAAAATGTGTCTCAATAGCAGCTCTAATGACTACAATATTGACAGTGATCTAATTTCCTCCCAGCGTGGAATTTTTCTGTTGGTCATTTACTGAGAAGCTAAACAATGGTTATACAGAGATAAAGAAGCAGAGGTTAGTAAAGACAGTCACAAACACAGTCATGCCACATAACAGAGATATGTATAAGGGATTATGAGGATAAAGAGGAAGGGCACTCAGGGAGACAGGTGGGCTGTGGAGGGTTTCTTGAAGTGACATCTCAGAGAAATCTTAACTGACTTTAGAGCTGAAGAAAGGGGAAAAATTTCTAGGTAGAGACTAAAGGAGGAACAAGAGATGGTAATGAGATAAAAACATTTTATGTAGAGGACTAACAGGCAAAAGTGAGACTCTACATTAAAAGCAAAGAGTAAAAATTGAAGCTGAAGAGATAAAAATGGAGCCCAGTGATGAACTTTTAAAGTGTCATAAGTGAACATCGATCTGATTCTTCAAGTGTGTAACCAGAAAGATCATCAGTGAGTAGCATGATACAACTTTGACAATTTACCTAAAAAAATGAGTTACTATTTTTTTTACAAACATTATGTAAGTTAATAGTAACCATTATCATTATCTGAACATTAAATAAAACCTTTCGATTCTTTCAAATTTCAACTGCAGTCTCCCTTCTCCGGAAGTTTTTCCCAACTAATGCCATTATCATTACATCTTCACATTATGAAACCCCACACGAGCCCTCTCCTATTACAGGCATTGTTAGTGTACTTTTGTATGTACATATATATCAAATGTCAATATCTTATTCAATTATAGATTGCCGTTAATTATTTGGCATGTCTGACTTTTTCCTCAAATATGTGATGATAATACATCTTTTACTGTTTTCATACATTTTACACATACGACACAGCACCAGAAACCAAAATAATCTAGATAAAAGCTTGTGGAATTAATGGCAACAAAAAATAATACCAAATTATTGCAGATAATATTTTATTTAGGCAAACTGTTTACTACAGAGATTAAGAAATTTATGCTGTTTCAGTAAGTAGCATACAAATATGGTATGGTGCTATATTTAAAAACCAGTTTTAAAAAAAATTAGTTCCTAAAATAGCTTTGGAAAAAAAATCAGACGATGAAGAAAACAGCAAGATCAAGGAGGAGAGAAGGAAAACAAAGTAAGTTGAGAAGATGACATTCACAGCTCTACCCTACAATAAACAGAAACAATATAAATTCTAATAATACATGTATATGTGTACATGAGAGGTAGACTATATGAGAATTCAAATTCTGGTGTTTGGGGGGTTTTTTAAATTTTATTTATTGATCTTTAGAGGAGAAGGGAAGAAGAGAGGGAGAGAAATATCAATGTATGGTTGCCTCTCGTGCGTCCCCTGCTAGGAACTGACCTGCAACCCAGGCTTGTGCCCTGATTGGGAATCAAACTGCAATTCTTTGGTTCACAGGCCCGCACTCAATCCACTGAGCTACACCAGCCAGGGGCAAATTCTGGTTATTTTTAAATTACAAAATCTGTAAATTATTACAGGCCCTAATTAGCTCACAAGTAAAAACCTATGTAGAAACTTTATAGCCAAAACAAAGATGCCTAAAGGATGTTTGTGAGGGGAAAAACACAATCACTGAGTTTACTTAGTATAAGAACAAACTAGTTACAAGAGTTAATGAAACAAGCCTCCATGGGCTATAACACTCCACAGAACATTAGAGATCTTTGATATTAACAAAGCACCTACCTGTACAATTTTTGTATCGCATGGGCTGCATTCTTCCTAACATATGGTGATAGATCAGCAGAAGCTTCCTTAATAGCAAGCATCATAATAGGTACAATAATTGGTACTCTGATACTTGACAGAACTCTTAAAGCACTTGCGCGAATTAGTTGATTTGGGTCCTAAAGATAATGCAAAAATAGTCATCAAAATTTCAAGTTTACAGTATTTCAAAGACATCTTTATGGCACAGTTAATAGGAGCTTATAGAATGCGATGTAACAATAGCAGGGGAAAGCTACTTAATTTAAAATAAACAACCAGTATATGAAAATGGGTAAGAAAAAGGATTAATAAATGTTTATTTCTCTTACTAATGTTCTAATCAGAGAAGTAATGGTTATACTTCTTGTTCATCACTTACTACTACTAAACATGCTAGATTTTTTTAACTTGCATGATAATAAATTGGCAGAGGTCATAAATTTTATCTTTAAAAAAGTCACATCCTGTCTTGGCATACTTTCAACAATTAGTTTGTATAATGATGAAGAGTTCTTTGATGCATGATAATGATTATACTAAATATAAAGAAACATATACAACTGAAACAAACAGGGCAAGATCCAGTTGGTTACCTGCATTACTGTCTAAGGGTATTGAATAGGCACTGTGAGAGGCCTTTTAACTCTTTCAAATCACCAGTGTGCCATTTAGTGAATTATTACTCCACTGCTTTAAATGACACACCTTCAACTGTACAGAGACCGTGTAGCTCTTTGCCTATTCACTCTATTACTTACCTTCAGAGCTCGCTGAAAAGTACTTATGGACAAGAGTGCCAGATCCTGCTGTTCTTCAGCATATCGAACCAGGTAAACATATACTAACTTTTTGATCTGTTAAAAGAATAAAATCATTTAATCCTAGCCAGAGTGAAAATTAAAAGTCAGTATTTTCTGTAACAAAATCCACTCTTAAGTTTTTTGAAGTAAATAACTAAGCCTGGTCATACCTTAGACTGTAAAATAAAAACAATACACAGTGTGGCAAAAGTAAATTTATAGTTGTTCACATAGAAAATAACACAATAATTTTAATATAATAATCATATAGAAAATTAATTTTAAAAGCATAAATGCTATGCTTCATGTATTCACAACTATAAACCTACTTTTGCCCCACCATGGATATTATAGGATAGTGAATGGTAACAGAAAAAGCTTGTGAAATAAGAATTTTAATAACCCAATCTATAACAGTAACATCTTATTAAGGTGTCCTTCCTTTCAAGGGGGAGAAAAGTCCCTGGGCAAAACTCATATAAGAATATTAAAATATTTACTGAACTACAAAAATATTTTCAAAATGAGGGATACCAATAATACAATGAACCTGAGTTGTACTGACTGATTATATGATAGGTTATGGTATGTTTCCTCATCTGTCAAAGGTGCTGAAGCTCCAAATCAGTTTCTATGGTAATATTCACATTCCAATATACATTACATGACATCTTCAGCTAACTATGGATATTATATGGCAAAATTTCCAAAGGTTGGAGGTGTGTTGAGAAAACGGTTTTTAAAGGCAATTTAATCCTTGTTTATAACAAAATTATGATAAACAGAAAAATTAAATGAATTTAAGTTGAAATTCATCAACTGCCTACTTCTGGCACTGCGCATAGCTCATCTCTCCCTTCTCAAGTATCTTCAAATACCACTCCCTGACTGACTTCCTTATGTATCAGCACAGTGCGTGCCAAAAAGTTTATGGAGTCTTCAATGAGCATAGGAAATGGGTGGAAGTTGTTACAAATTGCTGAAATTGATGCTGAAAAGGAAAATCAGTGCCACAGTGGGCCACGTTTTATATCATACTACCCAATCTGGACTACTTTAAAGACAACTGCCATGGCCTCCTTCCCGGGCTCTCCAATTTCCTATGACAGCATAGTTCTGAGGTCCTATACCATCCTTTTACTCCCTCTGAACCTACTCCAATTTGTTTATAATTCTTTCAGTGTGGCATTCTGAACTAGAAATTCAAGTTAAGCAGAACACACTAGTTATTAGGACTTTGTTCCAGGTTAGGTACTTCCAGTGATACAACTCATTCATAATTACAGTAATACACCTTCTCCAAAAGTATGTCCCACTAAATCAAGCTACACTTGAATAATTGTTCCTGTTGAGTTTTCTTCCTTTTAAAAGAAGAGCCAGATCTTACATTTACCCACAGAAATGTTCAACAACTTAAATTCAATTCATCAAAGCATCCTAACATAATACTAGACCTTAATTTGCAATATGACTTATTTTGCTGCTATTCAGAATTTCATGAGCACAATCAAAAACTTAATGAGCATACTTTCTACATCATCATTATTAATAAATGCTAAATACACTACCTTAAGTGGATATCAATCCATTCCTGAATACTGTAAGACAGGGGTATAGGTAAAAATAACAAAAAATTCATTTCCAATTACTCTTCAGTGTTAAATGAATTTACAAAGTTGTAAAAATGAAATCTACAATGCTTAACTCAAGACTCAATACAGTTCAAAATCTGGCCCAAAATTTCTTCTAGTCAAACAGGAAATCCCCAAAAACATCTTGCACATTTTTTCTCAATCTTCACTCAGATTATCACTCTACATTTCCCCAAGTCCCACTAATCAAAATCTTCCCCCAAAGCAAAAATAAAACAATTAAATGTCCATCAACAGGTGAAGAGTAAAATATAGTACCATCCACACACTACACTTGCAGCCACTATAAGAATTAAACAAATCTTACATAGTGAAAATATGTCTTGTAATATTTGTAAAAGTGCAAAATAGGAGGTAAAATAAAAAGTAGATACACACATACAGTGTTTTATCAATCTAAGATGGACCAGATGTAGCACTATATTATAAATCACAAAGAAAGGAACAACAACAACGACAAAACACCTCTGCCAATTATAGGTCATTATCAATTGTTAAGATAAGTCCCAACTGCAATATCAAAATAGAAAACAAATGTCTTAGAATGGACATAATATGGTAATAACATCAAATATTTACACATGGCACTCTGTGCTAGGCACTGTTCTAAATGTTTTACTTAGATTACTTCATTTTATAGTCACTACTCAATGAACATGTCTTCTTATTCCTATTTTACAGATAAAGAAACTGAAGCATAGAGAGGCTTAAGTAACTTCACAAAAATAGCACATTTATTAAATAAAGAACCTGGATTCAAATCAGGTAAGTGTAAAAGTTAATAAATCAAATGGTAAAATGTTAACAGTAATTATCTCTGGGTGCTGGCATTAACCAGTGAAATTCTTTACATCTTTACATCTTTCTGTATTATTTAATTTTTAATATGAATATTAATGTTGTGTTCAGACAAAACAATTAAGATATTTTCACTTTAGGGTTGAATCTCATCTTTCCAGACATCCTCCGAAACAAAAAAAAAACCAGTATTTTCTCTGATTATGAAACTATTTTAAACAGTTTTATTATTTAAAAAGTCTCAAATTGAAAATATTTTGGGGATCCCTAGGAAGACAGTTTTTCCTGCAGGGTTGGCAACACACAACCATCGGAATTGTTTTAAACCTGCTCCATAGATCAACAAAATACTCAGCTACATGAACAAACTTGCAAGTCAACCAATCTGTGATGACAGCCCTTAGTTTCTGAGCATTAGCCAATCAGGAAAAAGTTACTCCAAAACAACATCTCTGAATGCCAATCAATCAATGGCAGTCTCGCCCAGGTGACCTCACATCTACATATGATACCAACCCACTTAGGCCCCTGAAAGTCCATGAACCTTTTTTGTTGTTAGTTTTTATGAATACTTTAAATGATCACTTGGAACCAATGATCTTACACAAAAATACAAATGGGTACCAAAACTATGTGTATAGAAGTATATAAGATGGCAACCAAATGATCCAAAACATACCAGTGTTTTAGATTTTTTAATGAAAATACAAATTTTAAAAATTCTTTAATTACAGTCTAAGAAGCACTCATCTAATTGTTTGAGGTATAAATAATTTTCTTCCCAACAGATTTTAAAGTTCCTGAGGTTACAACAATGCCAAAAAACAGTGAACATTTTCAGTTTAACTGGGTGATATTTGCAGTACTTATCACATGCCTGGCGTATACTAAGAACTCAATAATTATCAGCTGAATAAAGTATCACAGCCCAATGGTAGGCTGAAAAAAATTAAGACACTTCCCATCGGATTGCTACATCTATGATCTAACTTACCACCAACGATTATAACCCATGTTTACGTAGATGTCTAGAAGGATATTAACATACTATGAAGAAATGACATGTATTTCAAAGACTGCCTCAAAAGTCTTTAACTTGTGGAGTTTTTAAAAAGTAATCATATAAAATATTCTTTCTTCTTACTAATTACATTCAGATCTCAGTCTATAGTACTCTGAAAAGTTTTGAAAGAATAGGTTCAAGTCCATCCACCCCTTCATCGTTTTGTTTTCTTAGTAACACCTTTATTTACCAAGTAATTGCTATAACCAACTTATAGAGCTGAATTATAAACTCCAGAATATCCAGAAGTTTATATTGGCAACACTGAAACATTTAGATCCACAGCTGAGCTAGTAGGTATTGCTGTAATTACTCACTATTACAGAAAGATTTTTGTGACTGTTACAACAAAAAGCATAACAATATTAAATCACAGAAGGTTGCAAAACACTAAATTTGTTCTACTTCTGTTATAAGAATCAATCAATATTGACCACAAGAGGCCTAAGTACTGACTGGCTGCAGGTGTGCAGAGAAAACCTACTTTCCCTGAAACCATTCTGTGACCAGAAATGGGAGTACTTAAAGCTCCGTGACTACACCATTTTCTGATCAGTTACTTTCATTCAATGCTACAACACTCCTTGCTGTACAGCTAATCATAGCAGAGCCCCAGTAGGCTGGAAGAACACAGGCAGATCTGTTTAATTAGCTTATCAATACTAGTACATCAAACTTCATGAGTTATTGACTAAACCTTTGATTATTTTTGTACTATAACCACTGATTGCTTACTAGGTCACATTTTTATCATTTGACATCGAATGGCAGATGACATATAGCTCAAGTGTGTGTCTAAGGCAGCATGTACTTGTAAAAATGAAATTTTGCACTTGATAGCAATAAAACATCAATCAATCCTCTAAACATAAATTTTAAGAAGCTTGTGTCAGTTTTCCCACAACATTAGAGGATTATGCATGTTTCAAAAAACTAACAAGGTATTTCAAGAACAAAAGAAATTCAAACAACTAGACCAGTAACTATATTTATAGGGACATTTTGTTTTAAAACCTTAGGCAGTATACCAGAATCTGATTGTAAAGGAAAAACATAACCAAATAGAAAAGTACTACTATTTTAACTATATGAAAGGTACAGACAAAAAACTGTACTTGAAAAATAACTAAATAAAGTTAATTATTTAAAAAAAAAGAAAGGTACAAACAGCTTTGAATTAATAATAACTAGTACAGAATTTTCTGTTTAGAACAAGAAGATTCCAAGTTCAAGGAGAACTAGTTAATTGACTACTGATTTCTAAGGACTTGGTCATTTCTACTCATATTTAAAACAAAAAATTTATACCAGTGTCAGATACTTCCCCAAAGGGTAACTAATACCAGATTTTGATAAGAGGTCAAACTAAGGTAGAAAAGGAAGAAGGAATCATCGACAGGAAAAATGGCTCTGAAAGGAGAATGGTCTAAGACTGGTTATGAAGACAAGCTACTTGGCTTTGGGCTCTTACCCTTCCATATACCAGCTGGGTGACTGTGGTCAGATAATTTAACCTTTCTGCTATCTTGTCCTCATAGACA